TGGGAAAGTCACTCTACCATGCGGCCGCACGCATGCAACCAGGGAATCAAGAGGAGAGAAATTTTTGTTCCATGTGGCTGCATGGAATATAACCATGTGGCCGCATGGTTAATATTTAGCACGAATTTTCTGATTTCCTTTTCTCGTTCAACCTCTTATGGAAAGAAATTTAGGGCAACTATAAAAGCCAAAAGTCGTCCAGAAACGAGGGTTACACCACTTTAGAGAGGAAAACTCATTGAAAAGTAAGGAGAATGCAAAATTAAGAGATTTCTACATCAAAGATTGAAGAATTCAATATTCATATTCAAGTTTTGGGTGATATCTTTTCCTAAATATTTTATTGTTCTTTATTTTTATTCATGCTAGGCTAGATTTTTTATGTACTAGATGAACGATGAACCTCGGGATATGATCTTTTAATTCTCTATTTTGCAATTTGATATTTAAACACGATTGATGGATGTTGAATAATTTATATACACTATCTTGCCTCCATAGTTAAATGCATGTAATTATGTAAGTTTAAGTGATCTATTTTATGCATTCGAAAGAAGGGAAATAGATTTTACAAAGTACAAATCGTCGTAGAGTCCGATAGGGAATAGAAATATACCGCTATTCTTTATGTGAATCTCTAAGTTTTTACAAAATATCAAGCATTCTTGTATATTACATTTGCCATAAAAATATAGTCGAATGGTATTCGAGAATAGGTTCAATTATACTCGAAAGAAATTATTGGATAAGTTAGAAATATTGATTCTTCAACAAATTCATCGTGTTATCGAATTGTGAAATAGAGGTTAAAAAGTGATCTTACTTGGTGATTCGGAATCCTAGTGTGCTTTTCATTCATTAATTTCTTCAACTTGTTTGCATTCAAACGTTATTGTTGCATTTAGTTCATTTAGATTGCATAATAGTCATAGTTTAATCGAAGAATCTAGAAAATCATCTTGAGTTTAATATATTCGGTTAAGGTCTTGATAATATAGATAAAGTTAAATCAATCATCGTGGGACGATACTCGAAATTTTACAATTTCCACTTTATTACTTGTTAACGAACCGTACACTTGCTGTGATTTATAAAGCAAACATATTTTCGTGAACAAGTTTTTAGCGCCGTTGCCGAGAATTGAGTTTTAGTTTGATTTTTGTTATTTAGACACTAATTCGAACTTGTTTTTAATTTTAGTTTACATATTATTTTCTATTTAGTTTGTCTACTTAGGTTGAGNTTTAGTTTACATATTATTTTCTATTTAGTTTGTCTACTTAGGCTGAGCTAAGTGATGCTATTTTTTACCTATTCAGGTATTGCATACGAAGATCAGTTGGTGGTGGACTACTTCCAATGAATTTGGAAATTGAACGAACTTTTTATCACAGGCAAAGGATTGCTAGAACAGCACAGCAGGAAAATCAAAGACACAAACAAATGGCTGACCAACAACTGAAATAGAGAGTAAATCCTGCAGCTCCAACCAATGCAAAGGCACAATACGATGAAAATGCTCTTCTTTGGGATTTTTGGTCACCATTCGTCGCTCAAAGTCAATCCAACATTGTCTACCCCGCATTCGAACAACCAAACTTTCAGCTGAAGACGAATCTCGTCCAACTATTCCAAAATGGATATCAATTCTATGGGATGACCAACTAGAATCCACATACCCATGTATCTCGATTCTTAGATATGTGTCAACATTTCAGGTACCAAGGAATATTCGAAGATGCTACCAGGTTAAGACTATTCCCACGCACTCTACGAGATAAGGCACTTTGGTGGCTATAATCACTTCATGTGGCAAGTATCACTACTTGGAACGATCTGGCTCACAAATTCTACACGAAGTTCTTTTCACAGGCTAAGGTTGTGAGATCGAGGCACAAAATATCAATATTTAGCCAGAATGAATCTGAATCATTTGACGAGGCATGGAACAAATTTAAGAACATGCTAAGGAAATGCCATCAACATGGGTTCGACAAACCATCACAAATTAGATTTTTTTACACATGACTACTTCCAACTTTCAGGAACATGGTTGACTCGTCATCAAATGGCTCCTTAACCACAACAACGATTGATGGAGCTTGGGAGTTGTTCGAGAGAATGGCTAGTACTTCAACCATGTGGTTTTCAGATCGAGGGGGTCCAAAGAAATCAACTGAAGTCTACGAGGTAGATACCTACTCGGCCTTATTTGCAAAGATTGATGCCTTATTTCATAATGTGGAGAGCATGTCACAAACAGCAAATTCAGCACAAGTAAGAAAATCCAATTGTGGGAAGTGTGGGGCAGAACACGACACAATTGAATGTCTCGTCCTTTCATAAAGAATAGAACAAGAGGAGTATGCCCATTGGGGTCAACATCAGCACAACAACCCCCATCTGACACTTACAATCTGGGGTGGAGAAATCATCTAAATTTCTCTTGGGGTGGAAATCAAAATCACAATCGAGCTCATGGGCAGTTCCAGCAGGAGAAGAAACCCCAATTGGATGAGATGTTTGCAAAACTTATGGAAAAAACAGATAAATATAGAAACAACTAACCAGTTCATGAAAAAGACTAAAATAAATTTTCAAAATCAACATGCTGCTATTAAGAACCTAGAGACACAGNGGAGACACAGATCGGGCAGATAGCTCTTTCTATGACAAGCAGAATACTAGGTGCTCTGCCAAGTAACACTTAGACTAATCCAAATGAGCAGGTAATAGCCATACGTATTTTGGGAAATCAAAGAATTGAAGATCCATCTGTGAATGCAATCACCACCAGAAGTGGAGTGGAGCTGCCAGAATTCATGTCAAGAGATTTGCTGTGAGTAATGAAACAGTACATTCTTCAGATGGTGAGCAAGTGGAACAGACTAAACAGAAGATAGAGGCATCGACTAAAAAGAGTTCAGGTACACCACGAGTTACGACAACCATTTCTATCAATCCTTACGAGCCTCTTATTCCATTCCCACAAAGGTTGAAGAAACAACAGCAAGACCACCAGTTTGAGAAGTTTTTGGATGTGCTACGAAAACTCCACATTAATATTTCATTCATTGATGCAATAAGACAAATTGCAAGCTATGAAAAAAAATTTTAAGGACATGATATCGAAGAAGACAGCTTCCAGAATATGAAACTGTGGCACTGACAGAGGAAAGTAGTGCAAGATTATAAAAGAAATTGTCTCACAAGCACAAGGATCCAGGGGGTTTTACCTTACCACTTTCAATTGGACAAACTGGTACTTTTCATGCTTTATGTGATACTGGTGCTAGTATTAACTTGATGCCACTGTCTATTTTCAGAAAACTCGATTTGGAAGAGGTTAAAGCAACAACGGTGACTCTGCAACTAGCTGATAGATCATTTACCCACCCTAGGGAGATTATAGAAGATGTGCTGATTAAAGTAGGGAAATTCATCTTCCCAACGAATTTTCTTATTTTGGACATAGAAGAAGACAGAGATATTCCAAAAATCTTAGGGAAACCATTCTTGACAACAGGGCGACCTATAATTGATATGAAAAAGTGTGAGCTAATCTTACGGGTAGATGAGGAGTAAGAGGTTTTTAAATTATATAATTATTCCAAACAACCATCAGCCCTCAACGAATGTCAGTATATAAATGAAGACGAACTATCCCTTCAACAAATTGCCAGAAGAGAAAACCAAACTTAGGAGGATTTCTTGGTAGAGATGAAAACGGGGAATTCAAAGTTTGGAAAGCTAAAAGGGGATGCAAAGCTAGAAATTGCAAAGCGTACAATGGTGAAATACTTTGACTTGAACCACCATGAACTTACCGAAATAAAGTCAGGCTATAAACTATAAACTTAGCGCTGGTTGGGAGGCAACCCAATAATTCTTCATTTTTATTTATTTCACATTATGCATTAGATTATGAATTTCTTTTTTCGAGTTTTTTATAATTTTTAATATTATTGGTTATTCATCGCCTTCACAGGGCATAAGGAGTCTATGCATGATTCATACTTCTTTTACTCCATCATCTTCAAATTCACACCTATAGTGATCAGTGAAGTATCCTTAGCCCCTTATTTTTTATCTTTTGTGAAATTGTCTTTAACTTTATGTGTTATTAAGTTGGCATTTTGTTAGTTTTTGAACATTGAGGACAATGTTTTGTATAAGTTTGGGGTGGGAATATTTGCAGTTTTTGTGTGATTGTGTTGTGTGCTTAAAAAATGAAAAAAAATATTTTTCATTAGTTATTTTTAGTTTAGTTGTTTATTTTCTAACATTAATTTAGAATTTTGTGTACTTATGTGGGTTTGATAACTTTGCCGACCATAATGTGAATACTGGACTAGGTATGAACTGTGAATGATGAAAATAGTACACTATTAGATTAATCAAAGCTTATGAATGCTAAACTTGACATTTTTAGTGCACAATACTTATATTTACATATTGAGTTGATGATTTGGTTCATTACTTGGAAAGAGTTGAACATAGTGAATAAACCCGAATAACCTCTTTTGTGCTAAACCGTGATCAATTTTTAGAATAGTTTAGATCTGATTGAAATGTTGCAAGGAAGCACTGAGATGAGTAGGGATTCCGTGCATAATGTTATGTGTGGATTTTCTAAAACTAATGAGAGGGAAACGAAGTGAAAGTTTTAAGTTAGGCTGTAGTTTTAGAAACTGAGTGTCTAAAAGAAAATGGAGAGTATTGCACTAATCATTGAATAAATAAAGACATTTGTTCGAGCCTATATAACTCGAGTGATTAAGCCTGTTAGGGTTTAAAACCTGGTGCCCTATGGTCATCTGACTTGGGAGTCATCGGCATGAAACTTGCTACAAGGGTTATATAGAAAACAAAGGAAAGATGTTATATAAAAGAAAAGAAAAAAATGGTATCTATATATTAATGAATTACATACATACTCTTATGTATGAAATATATTTATGAGCCACAAACACTCGGTTAATAAGACTATATCTCTAATGCGAGACAACTAGCTCAGTTTAGTCTCAATGGTCGAAGAAATCAAAAATAAGAGAATTTCTACTTGTTGAAGTGTGAACTTGTGATAATAAGATCTATCTAAACTGAAAGAGGGTAATGACTGGAATTGAATAAGTTCAACTTAGAATGCACTCTGGGAAATAAAGTGAAAAGAATAAGTTTGGAGGTGTGTGCATCTCTCGAGCGAAGTAATGAAATATTTGACTACTCGGGGTCGGGTGTTGAGCTAATCATGATCTTAATATGGTGTTAAGTTATGCATATAACACGTGGAGATGGATTTGATTATGCACTAATGTAGTTATTCATTTTGTTTAGTACCAAGTTCCAATCCTGAGATACGGCAGGTTATCTAACCATGTTTTATGTGGAATTAAGTTATAGTTGTTTGAGGACAAACAATAGTTCAAGTTTGAGGAAGTTGATAAATGTGTTTTTACACACGTATTGTAGGTCCAAACATGGATAATTGTTAATAAATATATGAAATATAGTTTAATTCGATGTAATTTGTGTTTTACAGGACAACAATAATGAACATGGTGAAAATTCGAAAAAACAAGCGAAAAATGACTAAAATGAAAGACAATCAAAGTTTGAGGACTCAAGTACAATTACTGAAAAGTTGTGTCAATCTCACGATGAAGATTTGAGAGTGCTGGACATCAATTGGAATGAGATAAGAAGCCAAAGAGATGAAATATAGTGGAAGTACTATCACATATCAACTTTTAACCGAAAAAGTTATGCTTCGAATTTTCAGTCTTAGTTTGGGATCCATTTTTGAAATAGAAGACGTTCGAATTTGAAGATTTATATTTTAGGAAGATTTGTAGCCCTTTGAGTAATCTTTTCAATGCAATTTGAAGCACCTCAATCGAATATCAAAAGAGAAAAATATGATCAAAACATTGAAGGTTATACGGTGGGAAAGTCACTCTACCATGCGGTCGCACACATGCAACCAGGGTATCAAGAGGAGAGAAATTTTTGTTCCATGCGGCCGCATGGTTAATATTCGGCGCAAATTTTTTGGTTTCATTTTCTCGTTCAACTTCTTATGAAAAGGAATGTAGGGCAACTATAAAAGCTAAAAATCGTCCAGAAACGAGGGTTACGCCACTTTAGAGAGGAAAACTCATTGAAAAGCAAGGAAAATGCAAAACCAAGAGATTTCTACATTGAAGATTGAAGATTGAAGAATTCAAGACTCATATTCAAGTTTTGGATGATATATTTTCCTAAATATTTTATTGTTCTTTAGTTTTATTCATCCTAGGCTAGATTTTTTATGTATTAGGTGAACGATGAATCTCGCAATATGATCTTTTAATTCTCTATTTTGCACTTTGACATTCAAAAACGATTTATGGATGTTGAATGATTTATATATACTTTCTTGCCTCCATAGTTAAATGCATGTGATTATGTGAGTTTGGGTGATCTATTTTATGCATTCGAAAGAAGGGAAATAGATTCTACAAGGTATAAACATCGTAGGGTCCGATAGGGGATAGAAATATACCGCTACACTTTACGTGATTCATATTCAAGTTTTGGATGATATATTTTCCTAAATATTTTATTGTTCTTTAGTTTTATTCATCCTAGGCTAGATTTTTTATGTATTAGGTGAACGATGAATCTCGTAATATGATCTTTTAATTCTCTATTTTGCAGTTTGACATTCAAAAACGATTTATGGATGTTGAATGATTTATATACACATTCATGCCTCCATAGTTAAATGCATGTGATTATGTGAGTTTGGATGATCTATTTTATGCATTCGAAAGAAGGGAAATAGATTCTATAAGGTATAAATCGTCGTAGGGTCCGATGGGGGATAGAAATATACCACTATACTTTATGTGAATTTCTAAATGTTTACAAAATGTCACGCATTCTTGTATATTATATTTGTCATAGAAATATAGTCAAGTGGTATGCGAGAATAGGTTCAATTCGACTCGAAAGAGATTATTGGATAAGTTAGAAATATTGATTCTTCAACCAATTCATCGTGTTATCGAATTGTGAAATAGAGGTTAAAAAGTGATCTTACTTAGTGATTCGGGATCCTAGTACGCTTTTCATTTATTAATTTTTTCAACTTGTTTGCATTCAAACGTTATTGTTGCATTTGGTTCGTTTAGATTGCATAATAGTCATAGTTTAATCGAAAAATCTAGAAAATCATTTTGAGTTTAATATATTCGGTTAAGGTCTTGATAATATAGATAAAGTTAAATCAATTCTCGTGGGACGATACTCGAAATTTTACACTTTATTACTTGTTAACGAACTGCGTGAATGCCACTAAATATTTCGTTACATATTTTTGTGAACAATATCGACCAACTTATCGGTGATCATATTTTCAAATGTATATTTAACATCTTGAAATGTAAGTACGAGTATTGGGTTCAGTGTGATATTGGGAATCTAACCAATCGGCACAAAATTATGGAATGCCGTGTTGTCAGCCCAACATCAGCCAAAATACCAACAACGAAACGGACCTAATCGATGATTTTGGATGGAAATGCAGAAGCCTAATGGCAAGGAAACAGCTTGACATGCTTATATTTTCCCAAACAGAATCTAAGAAAAAAGGGAGGACTTGAGCAAATGAGAATGACAACAAGCCAAGGACAATATATAATTGCCTAAATGTCATGAAAAATAAATAACCAACGTGAAGTTTTGGTGTAAAAAAATGCTTGCATGCTTCTGACGAAAATTCAAATTACAAAACTTACTTGAAATCACCAAAACGAGGTTGAATCACTTGCTTTTTGTTTGCTTGTTTTCTCCACTGCTTCATACTCACTTCTTGATCGGAAATTCGATCACAAAGGAAGGAATTTGATAGTCACAATCCAAGAACCAATTTAGAGATGATATTCTTCCAAAATAAGCCACCACACGCATTTATTTTTCTCTCTTGAATTTCCTACGAATTTTGTGTGTGTATATATTTTTCTTTGTGGTGGAAGTTGTATATGGAAGTTGAGGGTTGTCAGGAGTTGAGTTTCAAATTTAATTTCTCAACTTTCTTAATTTCTCCCTCTAATAACACTCTTATATAATCCGGGTCGGATCAGCCCACTTAGGTGACCCATTTTCTTCCAACGTTTGGACTAGGATCTATACCCTTTATCAGGAATACATTGTGAAAACAGAAGATGAGCTATTTCAAAAACTTGAAACAAATTCACTGCATACAAGAAATGACAGTTCAAACTGGCTGACCAACTGTCTATATATTCAGGCAGTAACAAGCAGTAGCTAAATGCCGTACCCCATAAACTTGGTCTTGATTATATGAATCCATTTTTTAGACATAATGCAAAAAATAAATAGAATCAATTTCACAGCTCTCCAGCTGTTAAGCAAATGATTACTACAAGAAAAACTTAGAAGTATACCTGAAAACTTCATCCAGTAAGGCATCTGTCATTGGCTTACGGGGGAATAGCTTGTAAGTCATGTCATCCTCATGTTGCTTAAGAATATTGATGCTCGAGAATGCTACATCAGGAGACTCTGTAGTGCCTACCAAGTCTGAGATATCAGACAGCAAGTTCAGACCAAAATATGAATGCTCACAGCAAATAATTATATTGGGATACGTTAAAAATATAACAAAGGGATAAGTATGGACACAAATGATGTCAAAGGGAACCCCATATACTCACAGGACTTAATAGACCCCTAACAAAATTTGCATGTGTGCGCTGTAATTTCCTTGGAGGAATTGAAATTCTAGGATTGAAATCTATATTCAGCTCATCTAAGGGGGTTGCGACAACCGTAACTCCACAGTTGTAACTCTTGCCTTTGGTGAAGTTGAGTACATAAACATCTCCTAGATAAGAGGTGGATTCTTTCTTCATTAAAGTGCAACACGACATCAGATCTGTTGATCAATCCAGCGGGCATCTGCAACTGCTAGTTCCCTTCTTCAATTGACCATAAACCACCTCCAAATCCTGCCGAGGAAACTGTACCAGCAAGTCCGCTGATGTTAACACTTCGAATGTAATTTATCCTCGTTATAACCTGTACGAGAAAGATAAATTTTAAATTTATTTCCGAATCTAAAACCACATTACAAGTTCAAGATGCTTAAACATCACAGTAGCTTGGTCCTAGTAGTATCATAATTTTCATGCATGGACCAAACTTTAGATCAAAGAAAGGGCAATAGAAAAGAAGAAATATAGGATAACACTATAATATGAAGCAGGGGGCCATTTTGGGAGCATTAGCATTTGATGGATAAATGTTTTTAAGAAGGTTCCAAAAATTATTGAGTCAACTACGATACATGGGTCTATGTTATAAACAACGAAAAAAATATTGGATAGTTCCAATACTAATTTGTTGTGATAATAGGCGAGAAAATAATATGACACAATATGAAGTAATTAATCACAAACTTAAGAGTAAAATAATTGGTAGAGGAATGAAGATTTCACTTAAATATGGAGAAAGAATTACAATGATTTGTGTTTTTGATTTGTTTAACTTAATCTAAAATACAATGAAAAGTTAACTATGCTTGTGTTTGACACCCATTTTAGGGGGAAAAAATGAATTTTAGAATAGTGATTGATGAAAGAATGTGTGTTTCAAAAGTAATGAAAAGTTTTAGATTTGTGTGTAATATTATTTTATTTGGAGAATGTGTGGAAATGAAAAAAGAGAAAAAAATGAGAATGAGAATGGATGTCAAACAAGACCTATATATAGAGGATATGTCAAATCCTAGAAGTGGAGTTATATATGAAATAGAATGCAAAAAACCCTATCGAAAACGGATTTGGAGGCCAAAACGATCCGCATAAGCAGAATGGGCGCTACCGAAGCGACGATCCAACGCCAGGGCAAGCACCTCGTGCCAAGTTGTTGAAATTAATTCTGCAGGGCCTTTTTCTTCCTTTTTTTTGTCTATATCATGATCTCTTCAAATCCAACACAGATTCCAACTCCCGATATAACTTCCAAATAAAATTTCAACTAGAATTTGCCGAATAAATTTCGAATATGATTTCAAAAGCATTCCAACAAATAAAATTCCTCTTAATGTCGACCTTAATTAGGATTTTCAATCATCTTCATAATAAAATTCGGATTACACCCTAATTATAACAGTCTACATGTAGAAAAACGAGAAACACTTTTGTTTCTCTCATTATTAAAACATTTTCGCTACACCTTAAATTTATTTTCTGTTCATATACGTTATTCATGGTTATGGATCTGAATATGTTATTGAAAGCAGGCGAACAAAAGCATTCTATTTCTTCTTATATATAACCCATACGTACAATCACAAAAAATGAAATCAAATATACTTTCAAACATACCTAATTTTATAAAGAGTTATGCTATGTGTACACAATGCATTACACATCTCTCACATGGAGGGGGGCTCACACATAATAAAATATTTGTGGACCCCCCTCCATGTGAGAGGGGTGTAATGCATTGTATACACCACAAAGTGTACACATAACATTATTCTTTTATAAAATCACTCAAAAATTTCTGTTAATTTGATATTTTCATTTATTAAAATATTAATGCTTATTGAAAATCAAAATAGTTTATTTTCATAAGCACTCGATAATTACATATCAAAGCTAAATAACTATATATCTAATAATTGTTTTTTTACGATGAAAATTGAACATGTATTTTTAAATTAAGAATGAAATTAAATATTTGGGCAAAATTGATGAACAAAAATTGAGAACCACCTGATTTAACTTATTTACATTCATACATTTTCTATCCCTAGTCCATACTACGAAGACGGATTATTTGTTGCAATGATGCGTGTTGTATTACTATCACATCTTTTAATTTATTTCCTTGTACAAATTTGGATATGTAGAACATTTTATTTCTATATGTCCCTATAGTGTAGAGAACTAGTTATTTTCTCTTAAAACTTGGTCGACGACATCAGCAAATCTCTACAGAAAATAAGTAGACATTGCCGTCGTTAGAAGAAACGTTTAAAGATTAATGTTGTGTTTTCTGTTGTAGGGCATGTGACTCATATGATGTAATCATATGTCACCATTGTGATCTTATATGAGTTATTTAATAAAAAGTAATTGTGAATCTGAATAATTTTATGAAGTATAATTACGACCAAGTCATATGATGTGAGTTCACATAAGATATAACAAACAATTGTGACTGACTACTTTTATTTAGTAGAATTGTGACAATGTTGTGTAGACGTGCTTGGTTGTCAAAAATGACGTGACATTGTGACAATTGACGAGATGTTTAGCAACATACAATTATGGAACGTATGAGTAGTATCCTTTCGATATTTTCAAAGTTGTAACTATGAATTTGTGGCCATCCGTTGTGTACATGGAAAGATAATAGTTATTTTCCTTAATATAAATCAAGTGAACGATTCACTCTCCCTCCATATTGCGATAAAAAGGAGAACATATCATCTAAATTATCAATTTTTTAGTAATAATAAAATATCATAAATGTTAAAAAAAAAACCAAAATTTTGAATTACTAAATTCCTAAAAATTTGATTTAAGAATTTTTTTTATTAATCACTTAATTTATTAAAAGTAAAAGTTGATCGGTCTAATTTTTTTATTTAAGCGTGTAAAGCCCAATTAAAAAGCATGCACATCCAACTATAACCCATGTTGGTTTACCTATGGACGATTAAGTATTAGAGGGTATTCAATTGGGAATTTTACAATTTTTTGAAATTTAAAAAATTTAAGGATGTGCAATATATATTTTTTGAGACTCCTTAAAAGTATTGATGTATTTAATCAAGCCTTTTATAAACTTTTAAAGATTATTCAATTAAAAGTTTCTAGAAATTTTCATGAATCTTGTGGTATTCAAAATATCAATAAATTTAAAAAAAAAATTATAAAAATTTATGGAATGCTAACTTTTGAGCAAAAGTATAACGGCCATATTTGAGAGGGATTTAGATTTTTCTACAGTAAATCAATTCTCATTTTTAACTACACATTCTTCAATAAAATAATATTTTTCATCACATTAATAATTTTTCTTCTTTTTCAACCACACATTTCCCATCATATCACTATTTAAAATCAATTCTTCCCCCAAAAATCCCTTCCAAACAAGCTCAAAGTATAATATCGAAAATTGTCTTCATAAAGATGCAATGGTTAATCCAAAATTTGATCAAAGAGCAGTAATTTACAACAACAATAATCATGAGCCACGTTCAGTACATAGAGAACTAAAAATGAGGCAAAACTTCATTTGCACCTGTTAATTTGACATTGTTGGGAATAAACACAGCAATGATATAGTTCTAACTCTCATAAACCAATGTCAGAAGTTCAATACCTAATCTGAACCTCAACATGAATTAATCAACAGAGTTCATCAGGTTCATATCTACCAATTACAGTTCTAATAATCAATCCCATAAATCACAGCCTACCATTTACATATTATACATAAACCATAGGCATATATAGAAATGAAACTACAGAATGTGGAAACCATATAAACCGAACATCAGCATGTCAATAACATGTACAATACTGAACATAAAATAACCAACTATAGCAACTGGGAAGTAGAACATAAAATGGACAGGAACCTCCCTTTTACAGTGCTGCCTTTTCCCTTCCTTACTGGCTGAATCCTCTAGGCTCAAGAATAGCCTTCCATGCCCTCAAACCGCCGTCCAGAGAGAGGTGAGAACCGGTAAATAATGCCTCTACACTTGGCTAGGATCATCGATCAAGAGATCTTCCCAAGCAGCCAAGAAACACGCCCTAATCACTGACCTAAGCCTCAAGAGGAA